AGATCATCTATCTGGGCTTCTGGTTCGCCAAAGGTTCCTTGAATCATACCAATCAGTCGTTTATGAAACGTCCAGCTAAACCATCCTTAGTTAAATGTAGTTCCGAATATTTTTTCTTTCACGTAAGATCCTCCTTTTCATGGTTCTCTCAGAAGATTATAAGATGGCCGTCTTTTGTTTGGGCACCGTTCAGCTCAAAACCATTAAGATTTTCAGGCGTCCACATATAGAGTTTACGACGATATTCTCGCCAATGTTTCTGCTGCAGAAGATCTGTCAAAAACCAAGAATGGATTTTATGGTTTAAAAGAGGTTGTTCCCTGCCAAAGTGTACATTCATAACGAATAATCCTCTTGGAAGGGAATGCGATCCGCCCTCAGCTGGTCGACTTGCCCTGTCTATTTTGGGTGCGGGCGGAGCACTCTTGATAAAAGGCGTGCTGGTCACAAAAGATCCTAGTGCTCCCGCAACGACTGGTTCTCTTTCAATCTCGGAGGTTTTTTGAATATGTGTGATTTTGCTATCCCAAAACATAAGCCCTCGCTCTTCATCGCTTCCACAGATATCTTCAAGGCACTTATGTGTACTACTGCTAACTCTGTTCCTGTAAAATTATTGGTAATCCGAAGTCGACTCTTCTCGACGTCTGAGAGGATTACGATTAGATTCGCGTTCAATGCTTCCTGGTATGCAATTGAGAGATGTATACTAATGATCTGACTCAGCAAATACATCTCGTAATAACTGAGTCCGCCTTCCCGCTGCTCGTATTTGGAGTGTTCCGAGACAGTACAGATTACAGCCTCAGCGAGAGAGAGGCACGAAAGTGGCGAGATAGTACGTCGTAAGGCGCCTGAGCAGCGCGCGTGCATCGCTCTAGGCTAGCCAAACATAGTTCGGTCCACTCGCGCGATTCACCGCCCCGTTTGAGTACACACTCCTAATGAGCAACTGAAAATCAGTAAGCTTTCGTCCTTGCTGTTTCCTCGCCGCAAAACCTAACAGTCGCTTCAGTTGAACACTGATTGTATCGCTTATATTTTTCATGTTGATATGAAGTTTCACAGAGTTTGGTTCAACTGATTTCAGGTACCATGAGGCGAGTGGCGTACTCCATAGTGCTACTTTTGCCGATTCTTTGCTACATTGTATTTGCTGATGTTCCATCTGAAAAAACAGAAGAAGTTAAAGGTGAATCAACTCTATCAAGACTTGCTCTTGTGCGTCAAATCAGCTGCTGTCTCCAGTTAACTCCGTGTAACGTTATGAGAGTTTTGACTTTATTAGATTCTTTTCTACTTGTATATGCTAAATTATTCATTATGCTTTCCATCATGTCCGAATTGGTGCTAGTTAGTGAGTAGCAAAATCTGAAAACTTCTAACATTATTTAACTTCTACATAATCAAATTTTTCAAGTGTTCCCATACTCAACATATTCAGAGTTGGAACTTGACGAACCCTTTCACTATGATAGCAACATGACCGTGTCGCGAACGAAACGCCAATTCCGATGCCCTCCCAACTGCTTCTCCACATGTACCAGCAACTATCAATGTCCCACGCCATCCGTCTGTCTACAAGGCTGTTGTTGTCCGGATAGCCCCGTCAACCTTGCAAGTAAGTCGAAGACACCGCAATCAGATTTAGTTTGGTGTATTATCACGCATCATTTACGCGAGAGCCATTAGTGGCTCAAATGGATTTGCGATAGTTATCAAGTATCTGAGCCAAGCCACACGCAATTGATGATATACTCTCCCTACGTACACGGTAGTTCGATCTCTCTGCTCTATTTACCTTAACAGCGAGAGTCGTTGAGATGTTTGTCTGAGCTAAGCACCAGCGCACGAGCGGATGCTGACCATTCCCACATGAAACACTGCTTGACAAAACAACTCATCATTTGAAAAGCGCTATCTTGATTGCAATGAAAGATAGAGATTAGAGATATCTGTCTCCAAGATGGCGAAATTCAAGACGTCTTTTTCTGATGATTGCTCTGCAATCCAAACCAGTATCTTTCACATAGTCTTTAACCTTTTTTACTTTTTCAATCGCTAACAGCATCAAAGTTGTTGTCATTATGAAAAAAAGGTCATCTAAAACACACAGACTCTTTTCGGAAATAAGGGGAAGTTTTGAGTCATTGTAAGCACCATAGGATGTTGTAATTTCTCTTTTGCATGAGTGAAGGAAACTGACTATACTTTCAGAGAAAAAAACAAGTTTACGACTTTTTTCAGCTGCTTGTTCTGGCGGTCCTGCTGTAGCCGCCTGTCTTGGTGGGCTTTGCGGTCAAGGATTCTTCTGCACAGTAAACAACTTCTGTTGCCGTTGTCAGTCAGGCAACTCAACAGGTAATTTGACAATCAGAGTGTGACATACAAATACTGCTCATTGCGGCTCACGCTACGCCAAGTTTAGGGCCTTGCGTCAATCAACAGTGCCCAGTGGGTTACATCTGCAATACTAACAACTACTGTTGCCCCATCGGCTCAGGAGGAGTTCTTGGTGAGCTACCTAGTCATAGATTTAATATCTACAAAACAACAAGATTTGCAGGACCTTGCGTTAATGGACAATGCCCACCTGGCTACACCTGTGGCGCTGGAAATCTGTGCTATCAGACATCAGGATAATTCCCAGCAGACATATATGTTATAACTATCTCGAATTTCCTGTCTTTCTTGTTGATTTCTTTATTTGATATTAAGTTATTTATGTTTATAATAAAACATAGAGAAATGATCACGCGTGGTGCGTGATCAGCATGTTTGTCCGTAGGAATGGCGAGATTCCTAAGAGCTCTTGTTTCACATGACTCCA